CTTGATGAGTGTCTCCTTGGAAGAGCAAACCTGTAGCTCGAATAGGATGTTATTGAATGGGTGACTAGGCTATTAAGTAAGTGACATAAATGGGCATTAAATCGCAGGATTTCATGCTAATCTTCGTCGTCGATTTGCGCAAATGATTTACGCCGCATCGGAATAGCACACTTACATGCATCTGAACCGTAAAAGATCCTAGCCTTTTACAAGGGCATTAACATGGTGAAGAAGCCAGGTGAATCACTTCTGGTAAGATCAGCATCATTATGATCGTTCGCCTCAAGATGTGCTAGTTACACTATACTTTTGGTGTAATTAGTCAGATTTTGTAAGGGATAGAGCACGGTGCCCCAGAAATATAAGTACGGGTTCGAGTCCTGTCCGAGACTGGAGTTTTATCCATGAATCTTTGTTTTCAGATTTTTTTAGGAAGGAAATGAAGAAGTACTACTTAAGCTGTTGCAGGGATGTTGAGGTCTACGCAGAAAACGTAGGAAATCAAAAATAAAACATCCAAAAACAACCGGGAAGTCCAGTAAAAGAACGCCTAATAAGAGGGCGGATCCACGAAGAGACTGCTAGACTTTTTACATGACAACCTCTGGGTATGTTGAAAGCTCGGTTACAACTTCGACCCGAACCTCCTGTGAATTTGGGGTTCCGTGCTCTTATTCAGTGCACTGACGGGAGTTTCACTCTGAATGAGCTTCTAGATAGGTTATATACTAAATGTTTGGAAAAGCAAGATTATCTAATAAGGAGTCAATTCAAGGATGAGCGGGTGATCCAAACTTGTTCTTTTCCACATACTCTTTTTCAAAAGCCCCGCCTCTTTTCCTTGACTTCCCCAGCTGATGAAAGATGATCGTGGCTATGTTTTCTTTAGTAAGATTTTTCATCTTAGCTACAAACAGCTCAAGGCCAAGGCTATAGATTTATGATCAGAGATACGTAATTTCTTTCTCCCATGCTCGAGTCCGTTCTCTTTCCCTTTCCTCCCTCCTCATAACCTTGCGGGTCCTTTTGTGATGCTATCGGTATTCTCCTCGAACTACTTTTCCTTACTCACACCCTACAATCAACTAGGTGCGCTCAGCTTCTTTTTGCAACTTATAATAAGTCCCATGATGACTCCATTTAGTTTTTTTCGACCTTCCGTTGTTTCTCCCATTTTCGGACTCTGTAAAGGCAGGCTTGAGTAGAAAAAAAGCAGCGAAGCTTCAAAAAGGCAGAGCCCATCGAGAAAAACAATTAAATGGAATTAATGAATAAGAAGAGCAATAGTTTAGTACAAGTAGGTTGGGATGGTCTGAAACACAGTATGACAAACAAGTACGCGTGACTGACTGACTGACAGCTAAAATAGGCCTCTTGACGTAAAAAGAGAGGTCGGCCATTTTCCACATTGAGGTTTCTCATGACCCTGACCCTTTCATCCGTGAGACTTTGGGGTTTATCGAAATAAAAGAGTTGGTTCTGTTGAAACTCTGGTCAATCGAAAAAATATTATTAGCATGGATCTTATCACCAAATAATGCCATACCGGGCTAGCTCTAACAAAACATTGGGATTTCGTGCTGTGACAAGGTGAAGAAGTTTCAAAAAAGGCGAGATTCTGAACAAAAGTCATTCAACCTTATGCCACACCACCTAGCCTTGCAAACTTCAAGTTTTTTGGTGGTTTCATAAAAACTTGAAGACATACTCCGAACGCGACACATAGAATCCCGTATGGGAACTATTCCCTACCAGGTGAAATTGAACATCTGTTATGGAGCTAGTGAATCCGTTATTCAACATTGGGTTCTGACTGGATAAGGACACCGAATTAGTCAACGATATGAACGATCGATTGATTGAGCTCATGAAGGACATTAAGAAGTGGTGATAAGAACGGCAACTTATAACTGTAAAGAAAACTGACCTCAAAAATATCAATCCACGAAGTCCATTCGCCATTGCAGCTAATAGTAATAGTAAAGTTATTGTAGACATAGAATCCTTCATGGAGGAATGTTGCAGAACGTCTGTAGGGAACGGAGAGGTGGCAGGAATTGCAATGAGCTCCCTCCCTGATCGTCCCTGATTGATCAATTTCAGGCAGCCTGATCTTCCAGCTTCAGTAACTTTCAGCGTTTGATCTATCACATAATTCGAACCTAATTCCCAATACCTACCCCCGCTCCGTTCTATCAACTCACGTTTTTCTGATAATCGGAAATTCAACAAGTACATGGGGTCGTAATTTGGGGGATGCTTCGTATGGAAGGGGCAAGCTTTTTTGGTCATAGCTCTGTAAAAGAACTAAACAAAATATTGATTATTTCAAAATTCCGAAAGTTCTGCAAACTTCTTGTCTGACAGACTGTCCCCTGGAAGTCCCCTTAAACGATTTCTGGGCAAGGAAATTTTGCCAAGTTTGAGGCAGAGGCATGTCCTTTAGATTAACTTAGTTTAATAGCATAAAAAGGTGTTTCTAGTATTTATCAACCCCGTTTTTGAAATGAGCCCCGTATTCGGCTTCCATTCAGAATCGTAGGTTGCTTTGAATTCGTATGCGGCCCACACCGTGACGTGCCAAGACCAGCCGATTTACAGGACAGTGCTTTCTTCCTCCCGAACGAGTCTAGTACAGGCCATCGACCCAAAGGGATAGAATAGGTTGGCCCAGCACTTGCTCTGCGATTCGATCCCAGAAATATGTGTGTACGATAGTGGGACACTTGCCACTACGCCATATCAGTCCATACTTTTTATATTACCTCTTATTACTGCAAAATCAAAAATAATAAATCATAGTTGTAAGTATAGCCTATAGATCTTTTTTTTCGTTCTCACTAGAGAGGAGCCTCTTCGAATTGTTCAGCACATACCAACCAATAGCTTAGTAGACTGCGCTCACTCGCTCATCGTAGACAGTTCCTTCGGTTCCATCATCGCAAAATTATTATGGAACTTCTACAAAATCTGTATGGCCTCTCTTTTTTTAGGGATTCAAATTGAATCAGATAGCGTTAAAATGAAATATAAAATTGGATTAGTAAAAAGTTTAAACTCAGCTAAATCTGATATCTAGTCATGAAGGAACCCGCGCAAACCTCAATCCCGAGTTAATCTACAGGAGCAAATGTTTTCAGAGCATAGCTTTACACTTATTTCGATTAACATTGTTCAAAGGTAGACTTTGAATTTTCAAAATTTGATTCGAGAAAAATGTCTAGAGAGTCAATTGACGTGGTCTCATGTGCAGTCGGAATGCAGACAAATTAAGCATTCAACAAGTTTGGAAAAGACCGGTCGAGCGATTAGGCGAAAAGGGTAATGAATCATTTAGAAAAACTACCAGACAATGTTAGAGCTCAGATCTGATCACTGAGAGTCAAAGCAGAATGAGGAAATGATTTACGATGAATGAATGGTCAGAAAAGGAATCCATGAGGAATGGTTTAAAGGATGGGCTCATGTACATGGAACGAAAACGGCACGTTTCCAACTATGTGTCGAAATTCAGATGTAAGACGAAGATATGCTGGACCCCGGCGAGCGCCCATATCCCAAACGATCTAACACAATCGAGAGATTTCATTGAACGATAAAGCGATCATCATTCCTCAACACTGAAAACATTAGGGGTGGCCATAATGATCTCGCCGAAGAAGCTTTAAAAGGATATGCAACACGACTTCCCTTTCCCCCAAAACAGTTCAGCAGCTCAAAACAACTAGCGGCGGCCCATCTTGATGTGCCCTATAACGACCTCACCTAATCCGTCTTTGTTCGTTACTGAAGAGCCTTTGATACCTCTCTAGGCTTTTCTAGAGCTGATGCCTCTTGAGGGAAAGCTGCTTCTCGTCCTCAAATGGAAATTTAGCGAAGGCCATGAAGAAACAAGTGCTGTGCTCACCAACACAAGGCCTAAGCAGGGGAAGGGAGTGAAAGAGAACGTATTACTCATAACCTGGTAACAGTTTTGTAGAAGGCTATGATGAAGAGAAGTTATCCAAAGTAATATGAAGTTAGCTACTTCCGTTTCATTATGAGGATAATTCATAAAATAATATCATGAACAACCCTTTCACAGTGTCGACCTATGCCCCTTCTTTAAGTCCTGCTTGAGGAAATCAAGAAGGGGCATAGGAATTTTTACAACACCGAAATTCGGAATCTTGTAGATACTGACTAGGTTTTATGGTACGATTTCATAAATTAGTCAGAATTCTGCTAAAACGAGCAAGAGCGTGATGATTGCAATGGCAATGAGACGTTGTCTGTGTCCTCTTCATTGGTTAGCTTCAGTTCGACCAAAACAAATTAATTTCTTTCAAAGGAACCCTGCAAATTAACCTAATCAAACCAGATTTGAAGTGCGTTGCTGTTCGATGCTGCAGAATCTCGCACTCTTGAAAAACCATGGTCAGCAGGTTCTCTAAGTATGCCACGAAGGTTACCGTAGTGGTGTTGAATGCAGCCGTTCAGCCTACAGAATGAGCTACGGAGCCACCCGATGAACAATTCTAAGCTTCTGCCCTCCCAAACGGATCTTAGGCCAATAACACCTGATTTCAGAGGATTAGGAGCTTATTTGATTGGGTAGCTATCCTGGTCGACCATAGTCATCTCATCTGCTTCGTTTGAAAGAACGAGTGGTGGGCGAGTATCGGCATCTTCCTTAATTTTTCCTTATTCTTTCTTCACAATATTTTCCGATGTTCGTCTGACTCTGCAGAAACCGTAGAGTATGGGAAGAATTTAGTAGGGACATCAGAAGTGACCGCTGTAAAATCATACAGTAATGAGCTTTATTGCATTGGTCCACAACGTTGATATTACGAAAAAGACAGGTTTCCTCACAATATAATACAAAGATAATACTTACAGTAATAAAAACCTAAAATTTTATCATACAGTACACGTATTAAGCCATAGATAACAGTTGAGATCTTCAGTAATTTGCATTTAAAGGCAACTGGCTTTCGTAGTCAATAATTATTGCCATTTTATATATGACAGGGATCAGGAGGTAGTAACTTCGATGAGACTCGATTCAGTACATCTCCCATGGCAGAGAACAGCCGCAGTTGTTCTTTTTGGACCTCGGCTGCTATCTTGAAGTACTCCTTCTGTGCCTATAACAATATTTTTTTCTGTCTAAGTCTTAATCAAATTCAAATTCTGTTTATTCTACGAACAAAAAACTTCAAGTAATAAAAAATTCTGAAGATAAGGTCAGTGTAAGAAAAAAAACTCCAGTAGTTTTGACAGTCAGCGGCCAATTATTTTTATATCTTTCCGTTAACTTTATTCCAGTGTTTTTGCGAGTATACTCGTTCACCTGCACAAGTATATCAGTTGATAGCACGATTCGAAACAATGATTTGATTAGTTAATAAAATTTCCCGATCCGATACAGGCCTAATGACCCATTTGCCCACTCAGTAGAAGATTAAGGATTATTACTCCTCACACAAGAGTATCGTCGAGTATCTTCAAGGGACAACGGAATTATCAGCAACTTTCTGAGTCGACAAAGGACTCCAATACAAAAAATGACTAAATGTATGTACAAATACAAGTATATATAAGCGTTATCCCATTTCAAAAAAAATAGCGTGATAATAAATGATAGTTAGCGATACCTTGGTCTAAATCTTCTACAAACCTGAATTTGTAACATGTAACGAATTACGGTAGTACGTACGGACTAACTACTACTTTTCTATTTTGTACAGGTGAAAGGGTAGGGGACAATAACCTTTCATTCAAATGAACAGCTGAGAGGATCATCCCATCACAGTACAATGGAAGAATTTCATTTTCAAGTCCCACCCTTCTGGCCCCCGGAGCCGGATTCAGTCTTTCCTAATCAATACAGTTGGTGCTTCACTGTTCCATGGTTAACGAGGTCCTATAGTTGTTCCCTTACCCGATCCCCTATCATTTCGATTTTTTTTGCATCAAAGTGGTGGTTGGACCACTTGTTTTCAGGTGTGTCATTTTGCCATGCTACGACTTTTCTCAAACCGCTGTAATATTGAATTTTGTATTGATACGTACTACAATAATAATGGCTATGTGCTAGAGCAAATGACTGACAATACTATAACAAAACGCTATATAAATATAGTACACTACGCCCTAGGAAACACCACATCATCGACCAAGATAGCAATCCGTTATCCACATGAAAGGGTGACAGAAAACGCTCACCTTTATCATCTCCGAGAGGCTCTCTCTAAAGCATCCATCGTCGGAATGACATCCACAAGTACCATTTTTCGGGGCGTCAGTATTTGTAGGCTGAAAAATCTGAAATCACTCACAAGGTTAAGTATGACATTGCAAAAAAACGGCCACGGCCTTGTCAGTACAATCTCCTCATGCCTTTTTCTCCTCTCCTCGATCTAAGGCTGAATCCATGGCATAGCGGTATAGAAAAGGGGCAATTGCTGTACAATAATTTGGACAACGTAGGGTCCCATGAATGAATGATCCAGTTTCTCCATGACCGAAGGCTCTTTCCTAACTATGACTCCTTCCTTTCAAAAGAAACCCCTGCATTCGATCCCCTCCCCTTGATATGTATTTCAAGGCCCATTTTGATTCTGATCAGTTCAGCGATGGGGTATACTTTGGTCCTCCCTATATATTCCCAGATAGAGGACTTAGAAAAAACATTGTGTTCCAACAGATTCCCAGGTAAGAGAGATTAACGAAAAAGTTTTAACATGGGCTAAGTCGAAAGAATAAGACGCATTCAGATGGAACTGCATAAAAGAAAAAACATTAAGATATGAAAAATTATCCTACTCTTTCAGTTTCAGTTTGCTTATCAACAGAAGCTCCAGCGCGTGAATGTTGGTCCTCTTCACCGTTGGCAATATCCGCGAAACGACGTTTCCTAGTTGACGGGGGTTTGTTCTAAAAAATAACTCTCCAAAGCTCCAAGGCTAGACTAACTAACTAACCGTCCTTAAATTTTTTCAACAAAGACTAAAGCAACTTTCTGGGACTGGAAAGCTGAGAAGCTCTACTTCTGACAATAGGAATTTTAGGAGATCTTTAAAGCCCTTCCATAGCGATAACACCGTAAGGGTAGAAAGTAGTGCATTCGTTCTAAAAGCCCAAAGGAACTCACTCCACAAGAGGTTTTCTCCACAACTTGTAAGAAAGAAAACCTGGACTAATACCTAGGTGGACTTACCTCTTGCGGTGGGAACAACTTTCGCAGAGCGATCGCTCCCAGTTCTCGCTCTCGAGCTGTGAACTTGTCCTCTGGTAGACATTTGCTCACAGCACTTTGAAGAAAACGACGAACATTCGTAGAATAGTTGTCTTCTCTAAAAATAGGTGCCACTGGAGCATCTGCCGTATCGTGGGAGTCCAAAATGGCGAATGAATCACTGACTTGTAGTGGTTTAACACGATATCGTTGATAAGGAGGTACTTCCTGCTGAACACCTCTTTGAGCTCATCTACTGATGGAATAGTCTGGTTGATTGCTTTTAGAGAGAGATGGATTTCTAACCATGCCCGATTCTTTGACTCTTCATCACTGTCTTCGTTCAAAATCACATTTTTGTTTGAAAGTACCTGAATAAAGCGGAAGTGTTGGAATTAAAGCACAAGGGGAATGATCTTGTCTCGTCAAGATTCCCTTTTCATTTTTGTTAGTTTGATGTTGAGTATAATATGTGAGCGTACTGTCTCTATCGGCCGCCTATGATCAAATCACGACCACACCCTCGGTCACCCTAACCAAGCCATCCAGCTCTACGGGGTAAGTTAATGCTTTTCTGTAAGGAACGAAACAGTGTATGGTGGATCGGTTGGCCAACCCACTGCATAGGCATTCATAATCCGCTACGATCCCGAATGAAGGTGGGACTGTGGGCATGATCCCAAAATGAAATCTGCAAACACTCGAAAATACGATAATATAATACAAAAAGATACTTTTGAAAAGCAGACGATGAAATAGTGGTCTTACCAGCCTAAGCAACTCGTCCATTAAAGATTCTGGTAGTACGACTCCACTAGGCGTAATTGAAGCTCGTGGTTTATCGTGATCGTTAAATAGCGATAAGTCTTCGTTCAATTTGAATTCCGATTTCACTTCAATGTCTAGAGATGAGCTACAATTCCTGATGTGGTTCTCGACATCGTTGAATAGGAGACTTTCTTCCTGAATGACATTCTTGGAACTAACTCCAATAGTGTACAGTACTGGACCTACTTGAGTAGGAGATGGACTTTGAGCAATCACTGGGCCGACATAGTTCAGAAGGCCAAGGTTAAGTGTATTGAATTCTGGACTGAAATGTAATTTCTTTATGCTAGAATTTGGTCAAGAAAGTTTTTTTAGGATTCCATGAAGACCTTTCGGGCAGTTTAGTTCGACCGACCAGCAACCGACTGAGCCCTGTTTTCCTTACCCTATTAATTTATGCCTGAAAGAAATTTGCATAGTATCACACCTGGGCTCTTCGTCTTGATTCAAAAAACGCATTTCCTCGTAAAACTGCCATTTCGAACTGTGATCCTCGAACATTTTATTCTCTCGAACAAATTGATCCTTCAGTTGTTTCATCTTCTTTTTCAACTGTGGCACTGAAATCGTGACATATGGGAATGATTACCGGTGATAAATAATGCAAACATAAAGAGACTTTAGCCCCTTTTTTGGTTCAACCTACCCATCAAGTAACAAACGGTACTGGACCATATAGGTTGGGACAAGGGTCAGGGAACTTAGTGAATCCACAAGGCTCAGCAAAATTATCGATGAAATAATAGAAAACGAGAAGTATTGAGGGGATTCAAACCTATTCCGAATTACGGTGGCCTAAAATTTGTTACGGTAAGCTCGAGAACGTTCATTTTTTTTTNTTTTTTTTTCGAAATAGCTTAATAGCAGTGCATAGTAACAAAAACACTATAGCAAAAATATTGAAAAGTAATAGTAGCAGGTAAGTAAGAGGTAAGGGGCTGCCAAGAGTTGTAGAATCGAGGGAATTCACTTTGTTAACCAGGCTATTTGTGAATACTGTTACGGGCGGGACCAACAGCAGTGGGCGGAATTGTCTGAAACTAATTCCTAGTTCAAGTTGTGAGACCGTGGTAGAGTGGTGACCGTAAGTAAAAGGAGAATAAAGAGTTTTTGGATGTAGGAAAAGACGGAACAACACTGAAATAACACTAAAATTTAGGAATTCGAGGAAATAATGGTGTAATGAAGTATAAAAAAAAGGTAATGGATAACTTACATTCAAAATTATATCCCATACAATTCATGCGTTGCTCAATCCGCCTCCATGCATCATTCAAACTTTGACGTCGGTCGGTATCAGTACGATAAGTGACGTGTACATTCCAAATGCCTGGCTCGTCACGATAGCACTGAATCAGCGCCACCTTCGATCGGGCATCCCATTCTTCACCACAAGAGGAATCTGAATACCGGCAATTCATTCCTGTTGAACTTTCAATTCGAAAATTCGTGCATGAAGAAACATCCCTGAGCCATTCAGGGCTTATCTGATCCTCTTGAACCAGATGAGGTATCACCTCCCCTTCCAACAGTCCCACTTGGCATTACCGTAACTGCCTCATATTCACGTTCCGTTCCGCTCACAGAAATGATAGGGTATAGACTAGAGACTTTAAATCCATAGGAAAACAACACTCCCGGTAGAAAAGCAACCCTACGATCTACTGTAGGCTGCCCAAGCACCTATCCCTTACCTGGCCCGACGCTTATGAGTCTATCCATTCCTTTAAAAAAAGAAATAGTTCAGAAGGTGATGTGTGGTGCAAAGGTTTGCTGCAGGTCATGTGTGGCGTAGTGTTTTGATGCACTCACGCATATTCATACCTACGCGTGACCCCTCATCCCACACTCTCCTCTCTCCCTTTCCTGGTAAAAATCAACTGGTGTCATGGAGATCGCCAAGCTGAATACCGAATACAGCGTGCAGAAGCCTAAGGTGATCCTGAAACGGAGAGCCCTTCAAAAATCGTACTCTACCACCCATCAATAAACGCTTTTAAAAGGACCCTTCTGTCTATTCTCTCTTTATATTATTTAATGCCGTTCCCCGTCCAAGTACAAAAAATAGAGACAAACGACTACAGGATACTAAAAAGGAATAGAGGGGAGTGTTACAATGTTCCATTAGCGACTGATGAAGTGTCAGAGATTCGAGAACGGTCGAACTGAAGAGGACGCAATGTTGACTCGCCGTGATTCAGCTTAAGCGTGACGCCCCATTGTCCTGTTATGGACGCAAGACGCTCCTTTACACCTCCACCTCTTCTCCTCCAAAGATGAGGCATTTCGAGTGTAGAAAAAGGAAATGGCATCTTGGAAAAAAATTAGGTAATCGCAGCTACGCGTTGGTGCTAGATGAGAAAGGGAATCCTCTGAGCGCTTTTCTTAAACAAGTGGTTCTAGCTGGAAAAGCGATGCCTAGGAAAAGGCATTCAACAGGGAACATCGAAAAATAAGAAATAGCCTAATCATTGTAAGCACTAACACTCCANGCTAACATGACGATCCATACTTAGCTGCAAATTGCCAAGTTTTTAGGGGCACTTTTCTCTAGTATTTCAGCTCAGACGGCTGCGAGTGGCTCGACGGCCACAAAGAAGGCCAGAGATGATTGGGAAATCAGGGAAAAGAGGCTTTAATAAAGTGGTGGATTCGGTAGCAAAATGACAACTTTATAAGTATACTATAAGTATACTTGGCCATAATGTAAGCTCGTAATGGGCTCGATCCACGAACTGTGTTTTTTTGCCATCGTACCATTATCCATTATCCTACAAATACACGACGCCACACGAGCGCCCACTAATGCTACTAGGAGCACAGCCTGTGGATAGATCGAGGATGGAGAGGTGTGATGACTTTGGAAAGAAATTACTTCTCAGCACTATACGACCAGCATATGACAATGTGCAACGTATAAAAAGTCAAATCAAGTCAGAAGAAGAAAAAAAGAATTTTAGTTGGTTCAGTATGCCACAAAACTTTTCTTTTTCATGATGAGAGCATCAGAAAGGTGTAAAAGTACTTTCGAACTACTCACCTACAACTGAACTCCTTTGCTTCATGAGTACGAAAGTAGAGCAGAGAAAACAGCAGTGGCAGCAACAACAACAGCTCACAGACGACAACCACAAAGACGGCCTGTTTGTGGCCGTCGATACACCCATGCTATCGTCGGTCTCCGTCACAACCACACTGTCTCTGCATCGCTCTGCTGCCTCGGCCACAAACAACAGCTGCAAAAACATCTCGTTCAGGCAGCACCAGCAGCAGCCACCACCAGCTAGTAACCCGATTACTAGTTATTTTGGCTTCCATAGATGTTTGAATGACAGTTAGGGAATCGTCGAAACCAGAAGGAAGCGTGGATATATCTTGACTGCGCCACGTGTAGCCAATGGAGACCCTCAACTACCCTTCGAAGGATTGCGATTTTGTAAACGAAAGTACCAGAGAGCTGAGGCCAAGGGTATTCAAACTTAGAAGTATTTAGCAGTAACGTAGATAGATATGAAATGCTTGACAGCTAAGGAATAGGAAGCCATTAGCAAAATGAGTGACCAAGGACGGAAAATCGACTGTGTTCGACTTTTTAGAGGTTTTTAAGACCACAAATATGTTCGGTATGAATTAAGGCTTCCACATATCACCTAGCTACTTCATCAACTATGGCAACATGTAGGATATCGGGAGGGATTCCTCACAAAAGCGATATTCCTTAGGACATCGCCCTCTATTTTAGGTCACCCTAAACCGTGTCAGTGAGGCTCTAAACCTGGCTGACATTCCCACTATGAATTACTAGGAGATTAGCTATTTTAAGATGTTTACATCGAAGCGTTTCCATTAATTGTAAGTATGAAGTGAGTTGGACAGAATTAAGATCATTTTTAGAAGCAGAAAAAGTAGCACTGAAACTGCACCACCCACACAACAATAGGCTTACTAGAGCCATTTAAGAGGGGCAGGAAATCGACTAAGCTTTGGAAACTCCAATAGTACAGGAAAGAAGTTACAAAGGAACAAACTATACAGCATTATTGGCAAGATAATCTCACTGATCGCACGATTTCTGGCATTTGTAGATGATTTAATAATATTGCCCAAGGTTATACACGCAACACTTCCCTTTCCGAGGTCAGGTAGTAGTTCCACCTGACCGGTCAACCCCTCCAGTCAAGCGCTGTCAGTCATGTAACTACATTGGGCCCGATTTTTCACGTGAGTAATCGAGAATTTCTCACTTCAGCTGAAGCTTACTTGCAGAAAATGGTGACTAAAAATTGAGTTATCGTAACGCAGTCGTGAACAATAAACTTATCAGTAACCTAGTGATTCACGCGGTAATCGGGGGAGCAAGGGTTGCATTTTAGGTTTACTCAGGGTTTACACAGCAGTCAACAACTTTTCAGGATTATGAGCATCGATGTCGGCAAAAGGCTCTTACCGAAGCGAATGGTACGCCTTGACAGGAGGAGTTCGTTTCCCATTTGATTTATATCGAAATTCCATATGAATAATTATTAGTTGGACCGCTTCATGGGTGAAATTCGAAAAAAAAGTCATCTGACAGTACTGAAATGATATAGAAGAAAACGCCAAGTCTTGAAAAAGTGTTGGGACATGGCTGCGGAAAACGGTGTGGGCCTAACACTTTCCCAACAAATTACTTTTACGTACCAAATGGCCTTCACAGCTCAAGCAGATTTGGAACTGCATAGTGAACAATATACTGTGTAGAGATGAATATATTGTAGAAAAAAAGTACCACCTGCTTCACTGCTTGGGAGCTTCGTCGCAACGGCAGACGAGCAGTACAATGCCACTTGACCAGCGTGTTACTAGGAGAAACCGCACGGTCATATTTCAAAGTCCGAAAATCTTATGGGTGCGGCAGTAGCAACCGGGCTGACTTACTCATTCTTCATCCCTGAATCTGTTTTAGAGTATTAATTAGGGATAACAAACATGATACACATTCGAGCTGGTGCTATTCCTGGAGTCTTGCCTTGATTTGAAAGCAGAGGATACCGTAATTCGTGTCTAGATAGTGTCTAGAGATTCCGCTTCATGCGCTCCATCTGATAGAGTGAATCCTTTGGGACAGGACTCTCCTCTAGCTGATTCCGAATGTAGCGTCTGCATGTCTGCGCTCTATAATTTCGAAATTTTTCTCACTTGTTGACCTGACAGCAGCATTGGGATACAAAGGATCACTGAAAACCATTTGAAATTAAAAGATACTGTCTAAGTCAAAGCAGGATGGGTAACTGTTCCAGAGAAAATGGAATTTTCAGATCATGACAATCCAATGAGAGCTCCCTATCATTTTCCAAGTGCATTCGTGATCTCTTTTGGTTTTGAGATGGTACTTTCTGAAGGGTTCTCAACAGTGCCAAGTTTCAGTCGGCAGCTTGCCCATTTGTTCATACCCACCCTTATCACTGATTTTATCAGCCACGATTTCAACTTCTCAGCCTAATCACTGCACTGCAGCATCTCTTGCCTATCTTATAAATGTCCATTCATTCCCAGTCGACCTGCTCCACTTTTGATGGAAGCTATTCTTCAGAGACCTTCAGCTATGTCTTTTAATGAGACTTTTTCTTTACTCATGTAATCTTATGTCAAGAAGTCTGATTCTGAGCTATATACTCAGAGTAGATTTTCTGATTTTCGGTCGCTATAGCTATGATTACATAGGAGGTAGTTGATCTTACAGGTAATGAAGCTGTTACAAGAGCTGGCAGTCAGGCTTCTGTCTATTTGCCTCTTCCTGGCAATCGTCAGTGCCAGAAAATTCCTGGACCCGGTCGTAAAGTTCAGCGAAAAGCCAAGCCTTGCTGCGACCAATCCATGGTATGTGAAGTGGTTCGACGTGAAACTTGATCACTTCACTTATTCTGACACTACCACATTCCGAATGAAGTAAGTAATTCATGCTTGTTTTTCGTATGGGTAAGGTCCCCCATGTGCTACATGGCGAGGTTTTGCTAATGCCTACCTTTTCATTGCAATTTTTCAGCATTTCCACGTGGTCAGGGTCTCCTTATGATCCGTTTTTCATTTTTTTGGCTCCTTCTTTACAATTTTTCATCCCTTATACAACTTATGTAAAAAATATTCATTTACAACTCGTATTGAAACGCATGCAGTGCAGACAAAGCTGTAAATGGTGTTTTAGCCCCTCTCGGTAGCGTACCTGAACAAGATGGGAGAAAGCGGTGGCACTGTTACTCCCGTAAGTCAAAGTTTGGGTTAGTCCATAATATTACCAAATGTGGAGTGCCACTTGACATTAACTTGTTCTTGGTAGCTGTTACTCCATAGCAGAGGTGAATAAGCCCCGAGAAAGATTTTGTTGCTTCTGTCGAGTCATGGAAAGATCCTTGGTCAATCTACATAGATAGACCTCCCCCCTGCTCATTTGACTCTGATTCAAAATCGTGGTGGTGCTTTGAGTGTGTATGTGACCCATAGAATGACCTGGCCAGCCGATGTGCCGGTCAGTGGCTTTATCCTCCCAAGTGATGCCACCAGTAGCTTCCCAGACGCGTGCAGTATCAGTTCATAAACCACTAAGGATTGAAAGATGGTTGACCTGAGCGATTATCAATCCTGGGTTTGATGCCCGAATCGTTAGTGCGCCCTTGTCAGCACGCCATTGCAAATGTGGTATTGAATCACAAATATCAGACGAGTTCGACTTTTATTCGAGATTACATCCCGGAAGTCTGTCTTTATTGTTCCAGGTGGCTATGGAATAACACTTTCTACAAAAGCGGTGGGCCAATTTTCTTCTACACTGGAAATGAAGGCGACATCGAAGGCTTCACAACGGCAACAGTTAGTCGTGTGAATTCCAACGAACAGCTAGATACCTACCCGAGTCTACTGTTCAGGGAATGATGTGGGATCTAGCACCCAGGTACAATGCAGCCATCATCTTTGCTGAACATCGATTCTACGGCGAAAGTCAGCCTTTCGGCAACCAGTCGTATGCGGTTTGTTCCCTTCTGCTTTACCGAACTGATTCTAACGCTCTCTTTTCTAAATTCTGTTTTTTTTTATTTCAGTCCATCAAGAACATGGGCTACTTGACATCGGAACAAGCGCTTGCTGACTATGCTGCCCTTATCTATGAACTGAAGGTGAAGTTTGAACCGGGTGCAACCAGAGTTTCCATCTAGCGAGAGTGATCAGCTCATGGGGAATATTCCAGAGTTCCTAGAAACCTTTACTCCTAACTTGTATCTTCTTACAGACTCCAAACAACTCGTTGGGAGTTTATTACCCTAAAGAGACACCGATCATAGCCTTTGGTGGATCCTATGGAGGAATGTTGTCGGCATGGTTCCGGATGAAATATCCCCATTTGATCACAGGGTAAGAATTCCGCGTCACTCCCTTGTTTCAGAACTGTATTACTATTTTGTAGGGCTTGGGCAGCATCCGCTCCTCTACTTTACTTCAAAGGTGGTGGTATTGATCAAGGGGCTTTCGACTCGATTACCACTAGAACGTACCTGGATGCTGGCTGTAATCGGTTCATTGTCGCCAACAGTTGGAACGCCATTTTGAACCTTTCCTCTACAGGTGAGGGAGAAACCGCCATGAAATTCTCACTAAATTCTTGCAGAACCCCAAGCAATAAAGCCTCATTTGCTTACTGTCGCGAGCTTCGTACTACTTTAATTTAAAACGACTATTTAATTTATTTTCATCAAAAATAAACTTCTCAGGAATCGAAAGCTGATCATTAGTACCCTAATGTCGAAAACAATGAAATTTCCAATTTTGAATAAAAGTGAATCTAATGCGCCCTCATCAGCACTAATCCCTTTACCCGTCAGCCTTTTTGATTTCTACTCAGCACGGATTCAACACAAAGGCCTTCTCGAATGAAAACCCTAATGAAGTCTTCCATCTACTGTCTATTTCTATTCCCAGGTAAATTTCTTTCCAGATGATGGTCGCAATTTCCTGAACACGCAATTCAAGATTGATCCAAAGTCTTACATCCTGACAAAGAGTGATGGATGGAATCTCAATTACTATTTCCGGGAAGCGATCGAGTACATGGCTATGGTTGACTACCCGTACTCTACAGGATTCCTGGAACCGCTCCCCGGATGGCCAGTTCGAGTGAGAAGCGCTCTTTGATCTTGAATTTTCAGCAGCTCTGATACTACTGTGTGCTGCGGCCACGCAGCATGTTCACCAAATAGGTTCCAAGCCCTCGTTAAATGGTGTACTGTCGAGTTATGCCTGGGCTGCGATGGCAACGTAGC